CTTTGAACATTGTTAGTGACCTTAGTGTGGTTCTAAGAGATGACCTTTGAACATTGTTAGTGACCTTAGTGTGGTTCTAAGAGATGACCTTTGAACATTGTTAGTGACCTTAGTGTGGTTCTAAGAGATGACCTTTGAACATTGTTAGTGACCTTAGTGTGGTTCAGAGAGATGACCTTTGAACATTGTTAGTGACCTTAGTGTGGTTCAGAGAGATGACCTTTGAACATTGTTAGTGACCTTAGTGTGGTTCTAAGAGATGACCTTTGAACATTGTTAGTGACCTTAGTGTGGTTCAGAGAGATGACCTTTGATCAAAATTAACTAGTGTTATTTACCAAAACTAACCTAGCAATCTAACTTCAGCTTCCTAGATTGTCGTAACACAGTTTCTTAGCTTTGTACATTATAAATGTGACCCATTTATAAGCACTTGTGTATGTATTGGTACGAGGTTTGGCCACAGTGAAGTTATCGATCCAATACTCCATACCCAAGTATTGCCCTTGTCTCTCAGTCATACCCAAGTACTGCCCTTGTCTCTCAGTCATACCCAAGTACTGCCCTTGTCTCTCAGTCATACCTAAGTATTGCCCTCGTCTCTCAGTCATACCCAAGTATTGCCCTCGTCTCTCAGTCATACCCAAGTACTGCCCTTGTCTCTCAGTCATACCCAAGTACTGCCCTTGTCTCTCAGTCATACCCAAGTACTGCCCTTGTCTCTCAGTCATACCCAAGTACTGCCCTTGTCTCTCAGTCATACCCAAGTATTGCCCTTGTCTCTCAGTCATACCCAAGTATTGCCCTCGTCTCTCAGTCATACCCAAGTATTGCCTTCGTCTCTCAGTCATACCCAAGTATTGCCCTTGTCTCTCAGTCATTCCCAAGTATTGCCCTTGTCTCTCAGTCATACCCAAGTATTGCCTTCGTCTCTCAGTCATACCCAAGTATTGCCCTTGTCTCTCAGTCATACCCAAGTATTGCCCTTGTCTCTCAGTCATACCCAAGTATTGCCCTTGTCTCTCAGTCATACCCAAGTATTGCCCTTGTCTCTCAGTATACCCAAGTATTGCCTTGTCTCTCAGTCATACCCAAGTATTGCCTTGTCTCTCAGTCATACCCAAGTATTGCCCTGTCTCTCAGTCATACCCAAGTATTGCCCTGTCTCTCAGTCATACCCAAGTATTGCCCTCGTCTCTCAGTCATACCCAAGTATTGCCCTCGTCTCTCAGTCATACCGAAGTATTGCCCTTGTCTCTCAGTCATACCCAAGTATTGCCCTTGTCTCTCAGTCATACCCAAGTATTGCCCTCGTCTCTCAGTCATACCCAAGTATTGCCCTCGTCTCTCAGTCATACCCAAGTATTGCCCTCGTCTCTCAGTCATACCGAAGTATTGCCCTTGTCTCTCAGTCATACCCAAGTATTGCCCTTGTCTCTTAGTCATACCCAAGTATTGCCCTCGTCTCTCAGTCATACCCAAGTATTGCCCTCGTCTCTCAGTCATACCAAGTATTGCCCTCGTCTCTCAGTCATACCCAAGTATTGCCCTGTCTCTCAGTCATACCCAAGTATTGCCCTCGTCTCTCAGTCATACCCAAGTATTGCCCTTGTCTCTCAGTCATACCCAAGTATTGCCCTCGTCTCTCAGTCATACCCAAGTATTGCCCTTGTCTCTCAGTCATACCCAAGTATTGCCCTTGTCTCTCAGTCATACCCAAGTATTGCCCTTGTCTCTCAGTCATACCCAAGTATTGCCCTCGTCTCTCAGTCATCCCAAGTATTGCCTCTGTCTCTCAGTCATACCCAAGTATTGCCTTCGTCTCTCAGTCATACCCAAGTATTGCCCTCGTCTCTCAGTCATACCCAAGTATTGCCCTCGTCTCTCAGTCATACCCAAGTATTACCCTCGTCTCTCAGTCATACCCAAGTATTGCCTTCGTCTCTCAGTCATACCCAAGTATTGCCCTTGTCTCTCAGTCATACCCTTGTGTTTGTATATGTTCCTAGTATACACAAGCTTGTTTTGCATTGGTAAGGTCGCTTGTATGTGCTTGTATTACGTACACCTGGTATGGTGAGTATGGTTTAGTGGATAACTCCTACTCGTGTTACCACTGCTTTATCATGGGCTTAAACCCCCTACTTCTAACACTAGTTCTCGTGAGGGGAATCTTGAGGTGAACAAGATACTCCGCTTGTCTTTATTGTGAACAAGTGGTATCAGGCAGTGGTATTTTATATTAAATAGAAATGTTCTGTCGACAGTGCAAGATGAGGTGATCAGTCCCACACCCTGAGAGGTGTTCGGTCCCCAGGCCTTGATACAAGGTGTTCGGTCCCCAGGCCTTGATACAAGGTGTTCGGTCCCTCAGCCTTGATTGGTGTTCAGTGCCTCAAGTTGGCTTGTTTGGTACCACCACCAGAGGCTGGCTTGTTTGGTACCACCACCAGAGGCTGGCTTGTTTGGTACCACCACCAGAGGCTGGCTTGTTTGGTACCACCACCAGAGGCTGGCTTGTTTGGTACCACCACCAGAGGCTGGCTTGTTTGGTACCACCACCAGAGGCTGGCTTGTTTGGTACCACCACCAGAGGCTGGCTTGTTTGGTACCACCACCAGAGGCTGGCTTGTTTGGTACCACCACCAGAGGCTGGCTTGTTTGGTACCACCACCAGAGGCTGGCTTGTTTGGTACCACACCAGAGGCTGGCTTGTTTGGTACCACCACCAGAGGCTGGCTTGTTTGGTACCACCACCAGAGGCTGGCTTGTTTGGTACCACCACCAGAGGCTGGCTTGTTTGGTACCACCACCAGAGGCTGGCTTGTTTGGTACCACCACCAGAGGCTGGCTTGTTTGGTACCACCACCAGAGGCTGGCTTGTTTGGTACCACCACCAGAGGCTGGCTTGTTTGGTACCACCACCAGAGGCTGGCTTGTTTGGTACCACCACCAGAGGCTGGCTTGTTTGGTACCACCACCAGAGGCTGGCTTGTTTGGTACCACCACCAGAGGCTGGCTTGTTTGGTACCACCACCAGAGGCTGGCTTGTTTGGTACCACCACCAGAGGCTGGCTTGTTTGGTACCACCACCAGAGGCTGGCTTGTTTGGTACCACCACCAGAGGCTGGCTTGTTTGGTACCACCACCAGAGGCTGGCTTGTTTGGTACCACCACCAGAGGCTGGCTTGTTTGGTACCACCACCAGAGGCTGACTTGTTTGGTACCACCACCAGAGGCTGGCTTGTTTGGTACCACCACCAGAGGCTGGCTTGTTTGGTACCACCACCAGAGGCTGGCTTGTTTGGTACCACCACCAGAGGCTGGCTTGTTTGGTACCACCACCAGAGGTCGGGATCATCAATCACCAGTCTGTATGCCTTATAAAACATTATTGACCTTGGTGGAGCAACAACGTGACCATTGTTCCCATCCACCGGCAATACCTCTGGTACCACACCTGGTACCACACCTGGTACCACACCTGGTACCACACCTGGTACCACACCTGGTGTCATGATTGTGTAACACCATCACTGCTTCTCATTCTCCATGTTGCTTCTCATTATTGTCTTAATGTTGATGTAATCAGTTAGGTTAATGGCTTTCATTTTAATTCTAAGATTAATTTGTATATTTTGTTCGTTTTTATGTCTGTTATGATCCATTATAAAGTACTACCACCCTTTCAAGATGCCAACCACAATAGTCAAGTGTATGGAGACTTGATAATCTTTATATCTACAAGTACATGATACAACTTATACAGACCATAGCTGACATCAGTGACATACTACTATATAGATCCTGGTTATGTAGAGCATTTCCTGCAACTTAGGTTAATTATGTCCCCCGGGATGCGACCCACACCAGTCAACTAATACTCAGGTACCTACTTACTGCTAGGTGAGCAGGGACAGCAAGTGTCTTAAGGAAACACGCTCGATGTTCCCACCCGTACCGGGGATCGAAACACGGACATGTGTGTGTGTGAGCTGAGTGCGCTACCAACCGAGCTACGGGACACCGTAGCTCATTCGTCTCTTAATGTCGAGGTTGCCAACTACAACAGTCAACTAGCACCCAGGGTACCTATTTACCGCAAGGTGTACAGAGGCAACAGGTATAAGGAAACCTGCCCAGACATCTTACCCTGCCCAGGATGCCATGTACGACAGTCCATTAACACCCAGGTACCTAATTATTACTGGAGTTTATCTGGAGAGAGTTCCGGGGGTCAACGCCCCCGCGGCCCGGTCTGTGACCAGGCCTCCTGGTGGATCAGAGCCTGATCAACCAGGCTGTTGCTGCTGGCTGCACGCAAACCAACGTACGAGCCACAGCCCGGCTGGGTAAATATGTGAATCATGAGTTAGGAAACTAGACCATACGTCTCTCACTGCCTGGAAATCGAATACGGCATCCTTCTGTTATAAGCCGAGCGACGTGGCCTAGAGTATACATATACATAACTATGACAGTTGTCTACATTGTTTCTTTGTGTGTATTTATGAACAAGAAATTTAACGGGCAGTTCTTACTGTAAATGTAACTTGTGTTACTGTTTATGTTGATGATTGAGGGTTGTAAACTGTTAGGATTTAAATATGAATAAAACATGTGCAACACCTGCGTGTTTCACATGTCTTATTCATCAACGCCCTTCACATGTGCAACACCTGCGTGTTTCACATGTCTTATTCATCAACGCCCTTCACATGTGCAACACCTGAGTGTCGCACATGTGGGGGGAGTGTTCCGGGGGTCAACACCCCCGCGGCCCTGTCCATGACCCTGACCATCTTAAAAGATATAAATAAATCGTATCTTTATTGTGGAGACGTTTCTCCAGCCAGTGATTTCTTCAGTCCAGTACACAAGTGGACTGGTTACCACCAGCTCCTTATCTTAACCTGACTGTATTTAATGATTTATAATACATGTTATGTGTATGTTGGCATGAAAGAGTATTCAGTACTGTATTGTGTGTTGTATTTCAGGTGTGGAGGCGGGTGTGGAATGTGATCTGTGTGGACCTACGTGTGCACCTCGACCCTCTGGCTCCACTGCTACCCAGACTCCAGCATCACCGGCTCCTGCTACCCCAGGTTAGCGTCTCTAGTAATCTCCCCCGGGGGTATATCACCCCTGGGCCACGCTCTGAGTAGCCCTGATCAGGGTGATGACTCCACGCTCTCAGAGTAGCCCTGATCATACGCCTTGAAGTTGATGTGAATATAAGTACAGTGGAACCTCGGTGTTGGAACGCACTGGACCTAGAACGAACCGGAGTCCGAACAGTTTTGTTCAGAAAAAATGTCCCGGTCATTGAACGTTTTTCTGGAGTCCGAACGCTCTGACTTGTTTATATTTCAGCTGTAAAAAGCTTTACAGGAAAGTCATGTTTGAAGAGTGATTTAAAGTGACCTCTGACACTGACCTGACTCTCAGAGACTCTTGGAAGAGTCAGCTCAACATCCTCCAGTGTGTGTGAGGTTGATAAAACCTGGAAAATACTGTTTCCCACATCGAACTTTCCGCAGTTCCAACACTACCTAGGAACCACTTAAGTTCAAACATCGAAGTTCCAGTATAGAATTGAAAATGATGTTTGTCACTAATATCTCAAAACATTTATTTTCTCCATACTCTCTCCAGTCTGACATTCTTTGGATAATTACTATAATTTATTTACTACAAGTACATGATACAACTTATACAGACCATAGTTGACATCAGTGACATACTACTATATAGAAAACTGCTTGTTATGCTGAGCATTTCCCGCAAATTAGGTCAGTTTTGTCCCAGGATGCGACCCACACCAGTCCACTAACACCCAGGTACCCATTTTTATACTGATGGGTAGACAGGGACAGTAGGTGTCTTATGGAAACACGTCCCTAATGTTTTCCATCCGTACTGAAGATTCGAACTCCGGACCTCAGTGTGTGAGGCAAGTGCGCTAGCGATCCAGCGATACGAGTCTGGATTTTTTGTTACTCTCACCTTGCTGTTTCCTATGTTCACTTTTAATTTCCTTTTTACATATCCTTCCAAATTCGTCCACCTAGGTGAGACACTGGTTAAAAAAGCAGGGTAAGTAAGTTTACTTAGGTACAGGTACATATATATACCTACACGAATTATCATACATAGTAACCTGTTTGTAAATTACTTTCCAGGATAACCAAAAAAAAAGTCAGTGACTTGGTTTCATTGTGGCCCATATATTTCCAGTAGGGTCCTTGTAGTTCCATTGTGGCCCATGTATTTCCAGTAGGGTCCTTGTAGTTCCATTGTGGCCCATGTATTTCCAGTAGGGTCCTTGTAGTTCCATTGTGGCCCATGTATTTCCAGTAGGGTCCTTGTAGTTCCATTGTGGCCCATGTATTTCCAGTAGGGTCCTTGTAGTTCCATTGTGGCCCATGTATTTCCAGTAGGGTCCTTGTAGTTCCATTGTGGCCCATGTATTTCCAGTAGGGTCCTTGTAGTTCCATTGTGGCCCATGTATTTCCAGTAGGGTCCTTGTAGTTCCATTGTGGCCCATGTATTTCCAGTAGGGTCCTTGTAGTTCCATTGTGGCCCATGTATTTCCAGTAGGGTCCTTGTAGTTCCATTGTGGCCCATGTATTTCCAGTAGGGTCCTTGTAGTTCCATTGTGGCCCATGTATTTCCAGTAGGGTCCTTGTAGTTCCATTGTGGCCCATGTATTTCCAGTAGGGTCCTTGTAGTTCCATTGTGGTTCTTGAGTAATTATTTGACTTGTTTCAGAGAGTGAGGATACTGTGGCGTGTGCCCCTGCCACAGTGTGGGAGGCAGACGATGGTGTCTGTGTCAGAGAGGAGCTACTACACCAGGACTCCCCCCACCTGCGTCTCCCCCAGCACCGTGACCTTCGTCAGGTGGGTCTTCACTACCCATACACACCCCAGCATCGACCACTGCGCCAGGTGCGCCTCCCACCCCAACACCGTCCACTGCGCCAGGTGGGTCTCTAACCTTGCACCTTCACGACACTCCCAGCACTGCGACACTCCCAGCACTGCGTCACTCCCAGCACTGAGTCACTCCCAGCACTGCGTCACTCCCAGCACTGCTCTTAGCACAGCAGCGAGTGTTAGTCTTAAATCTAACATTCCTCAGATTTCGCGTAATCGTAATAATACGATTGCAAACGAATCGCAGAACGGATGGGGTTCAAACCGATGGTCTAGTGGATAACACGTTGGTCTCTGAGTTTTAGGATTTGCTTGGCAAGGGTTCGAGCCCCGCCTGCTCTGTGAGTTGATTGTTCTATACCTAACATTACTGTATCTCTCGTACTCCCTGGCCGGTCACTGTTTACATCACCTTACACACCACCACTGCCTCACAACCCACCGTCAGTACTACACAACCCACCGTCAGTACTACACAACCCACCATCACTACTACACAGCCCACCATCACTACTACACAGCCCACCATCACTACTAAACCCACCATCACTACTACACAACCCACCATCACTACTAAACAACCCACCATCACTACTACACAACCCACAATCACTATTACACAACCCACAATCACTACTATACAACCCATCAATACTACAACCCACCACCCCCTCACAACCCACCACTCCCTCACAACCCACCATCACTACTACACAACCCATCACTACTTCACAATCCATCACTACTATACAACCCACCACTCCCTCAGAGCCCACCCCCTCACAACCCACCCCCTCAACCCACCCCCTCACAACCCACCACCTGGCTCAGCACTATTCTTTCGTTCAAGAGCACTTGAAAGGTTGATGGTCTAGGTCAGTGAATTAGGTGAAAACCATTTCTGTCAAGCACCTAGACGGTTACCAGGTGAAACACAGGTACTGCCAAGCACCTAGATGTTTACCAGGTGATGCACAGGTACTGTCAAGCACCTAGATGTTTACCAGATGACGCACAGGTACTGTCAAGCACCTAGATGTTTACCAGGTGACGCACAGGTACTGTCAAGCACCTAGATGTTTACCAGGTGATGCACAGGTACTGTCAAGCACCTAGATGTTTACCAGGTGACGCACAGGTACTGTCAAGCACTTAGATGTTTACCAGGTGACGCACAGGTACTGTCAAGCACTTAGATGTTTACCAGGTGACGCACAGGTACTGTCAAGCACCTAGATGTTTACCAGGTGATGCACAGGTACTGTCAAGCACCTAGATGTTTACCAGATGACGCACAGGTACTGTCAAGCACCTAGATGTTTACCAGGTGACGCACAGGTACTGTCAAGCACCTAGATGTTTACCAGGTGATGCACAGGTACTGTCAAGCACCTAGATGTTTACCAGGTGACGCACAGGTACTGTCAAGCACTTAGATGTTTACCAGGTGACGCACAGGTACTGTCAAGCACCTAGATGTTTACCAGATGACGCACAGGTACTGTTAAGCACCTAGATGTTTACCAGGTGACGCACAGGTACTGTCAAGCACCTAGATGTTTACCAGATGACGCACAGGTACTGTCAAGCACCTAGATGTTTACCAGATGACGCACAGGTACTGTCAAGCACCTAGATGTTTACCAGACGACGCACAGGTACTGTCAAGCACCTAGATGTTTACCAGACGACGCACAGGTACTGTCAAGCACCTAGATGTTTACCAGATGACGCACAGGTACTGTCAAGCACCTAGATGTTTACCAGATGACGCACAGGTACTGTCAAGCACCTAGATGTTTACCAGATGACGCACAGGTACTGTCAAGCACCTAGATGTTTACCAGATGACGCACAGGTACTGTCAAGCACCTAGATGTTTACCAGATGACGCACAGGTACTGTCAAGCACCTAGATGTTTACCAGATGACGCACAGGTACTGTCAAGCACCTAGAAGTTTACCAGATGACGCACAGGTACTGTCAAGCACCTAGATGTTTACCAGATGACGCACAGGTTCTCCCAGCACTTAAGTGTACAATAAAACTTAGGTACTGCAAGCATCACCTCGTTGTTGGTCAGGTGAGAGGTCAGTGAAACACCTGACCTCTGATAGTCTTGCAGGATGCAATATATATTGCTCTTGCAAAGATATTATTTTATAATTTATTGTGTGTGTGTTAACTGATATAAATGTTAATATATGAAGAGTTATAATCTAATGTTATTTTAACACTTGCCACAAACACAAGCGAGTTAAGGTATTGACGATGAGATGGTAGAGGCAGTGTGTGTGACGCGAGGCAGTGTGTGTGACGCGAGGCAGTGTGTGTGACGCGAGGCAGTGTGCGTGACGGGAGGCAGTGTATCCGTGGAGCTTGAGTTGTGTAGCCAGGTCAGTGATACTAGTACACTTCTTGGCTGTACTGTTTGATGCCTTCCCACACTTCACCTTAGCACTCCCCACCAGGCTGGCTGCCCACCAGGCCGGCTGCCCACCAGGCCGGCTGCCCACCAGGCCGGCTGCCCACCAGGCCGGCTGCCCACCAGGCCGGCTGCCCACCAGGCCGGCTGCTCACCAGGCTGGCCGCCCACCAGGCTGGCCGCCCACCAGGCTGGCCGCCCACCAGACTGGCCGCCCACCAGACTGGCTGCCCACCAGACTGGCTGCCCACCACTTTACTTTCACGTAAATTTTATAATAGAGGGTTAAAAACACACTAGAAGAAACACTAGCACATATTATTAACCCGCACGTTATAAAACTGACGACTTTGGACCATTTACAAAGTCACACTAACACACACGAGGTTAGGTTAGGTAGGTTCGTCAGGAAACGGGACAAGTGTTTCCTGATGCAGCTGGAACTTTTGGTCATCTGACCGAGGCCTTCCACAGGCTTACCGGTCCACCTCTTTTAAAAAATTAGGGTTATGATTATGAGTGCCGGTATATATAGACTGAAAAAAAGTGTGTGAGACTTTGTAAATTACCAAGTGGGAGCGAAACGTCGTGGTAAGCTCCTCTCTCCTATGTACGGGTTATTTGTGTATTGTTCCAGTCACGGTATTGTGACTTGTTATTTATTAAATAGTAATACTTCAAGAGCTTTTGTGATCTCTCACATTGATAATTTTTGCGATTTAAAAATCATTTAGGCATTTAGAGCAGATGGAGCAGAGAGGCTGCACAGTACCTGCACTCTGAAGGATGAGTGAGGATGTTACAGTTCTGGAGGTGGGAAGTACAGTACCTGCACTCTGAAGGATGAGTGAGGATGTTACAGTTGTGGAGGTGGGAAGTACAGTACCTGCACTCTGAAGGATGAGTGAGGATGTTACAGTTCTGGAGGTGGGAAGTACAGTACCTGCACTCTGAAGGATGAGTGAGGATGTTACAGTTCTGGAGGTGGGAAGTACAGTACCTGCACTCTGAAGGATGAGTGAGGATGTTACAGTTCTGGAGGTGGGAAGTACAGTACCTGCACTCTGAAGGATGAGTGAGGATGTTACAGTTCTGGAGGTGGGAAGTACAGTACCTGCACTCTGAAGGATGAGTGAGGATGTTACAGTTCTGGAGGTGGGAAGTACAGTACCTGCACTCTGAAGGATGAGTGAGGATGTTACAGTTCTGGAGGTGGGAAGTACAGTACCTGCACTCTGAAGGATGAGTGAGGATGTTACAATTCTGGAGGTGGGAAGTACAGTACCTGCACTCTGAAGGATGAGTGAGGATGTTACAGTTCTGGAGGTGGGAAGTACAGTACCTGCACTCTGAAGGATGAGTGAGGGTGTTACAGTTCTGGAGGTGGGAAGTACAGTACCTGTACTCTGAAGGATGTGTGAGGATGTTACAGTTCTGGAGGTGGGAAGTACAGTACCTGCACTCTGAAGGATGAGTGAGGATGTTACAGTTCTGGAGGTGGGAAGTACAGTACCTGGACTCTGAAGGATGAGTGAGGATGTTACAGTTCTGGAGGTGGGAAGTACAGTACCTGCACTCTGAAGGATGAGTGAGGATGTTACAGTTCTGGAGGTGGGAAGTACAGTACCTGCACTCTGAAGGATGAGTGAGGATGTTACAGTTCTGGAGGTGGGAAGTACAGTACCTGCACTCTGAAGGATGAGTGAGGATGTTACAGTTCTGGAGGTGGGAAGTACAGTACCTGCACTCTGAAGGATGAGTGAGGATGTTACAGTTCTGGAGGTGGGAAGTACAGTGCCTGCACTCTGAAGGATGAGTGAGGATGTTACAGTTCTGGAGGTGGGAAGTACAGTGCCTGCACTCTGAAGGATGAGTGAGGATGTTACAGTTCTGGAGGTGGGAAGTACAGTACCTGCACTCTGAAGGATGAGTGAGGATGTTACAGTTCTGGAGGTGGGAAGTACAGTGCCTGCACTCTGAAGGATGAGTGAGGATGTTACAGTTCTGGAGGTGGGAAGTACAGTACCTGCACTCTGAAGGATGAGTGAGGATGTTACAGTTCTGGAGGTGGGAAGTACAGTACCTGCACTCTGAAGGATGAGTGAGGATGTTACAGTTCTGGAGGTGGGAAGTACAGTGCCTGCACTCTGAAGGATGAGTGAGGATGTTACAGTTCTGGAGGTGGGAAGTACAGTGCCTGCACTCTGAAGGATGAGTGAGGATGTTACAGTTCTGGAGGTGGGAAGTACAGTGCCTGCACTCTGAAGGATGAGTGAGGATGTTACAGTTCTGGAGGTGGGAAGTACAGTACCTGCACTCTGAAGGATGAGTGAGGATGTTACAGTTCTGGAGGTGGGAAGTACAGTACCTACACTCTGAAGGATGAGTGAGGATGTTACAGTTCTGGAGGTGGGAAGTACAGTACCTGCACTCTGAAGGATGAGTGAGGATGTTACAGTTCTGGAGGTGGGAAGTACAGTGCCTGCACTCTGAAGGATAAGTGAGGACCAGGATATCACAGTACGGAGGTTCATCAGAAACATAATGTCAACACACTGACAAAACAGCTATGGAATAAATGATGGTGAATTTGTTTTCCTTTTAAGGTCATGCAAACACTGT